AGACACCACCCAAAGCATTTCGGAGACTGCATAAGCGTGGGCTTGGTGCAGCAACTTCTCACTTGTCTGTTTTTTCTTTCAGATTGCAAGGGCAAAGGCTGGGGCCAGGGTCCAGGGTAGAAGTTCTAGGGTTGTTGGGCTGTAGACTGTAGACTCTGTAGACCTTCCGGCGCTGTACACTGTACAATCTGCTATCTGTGCTATCTGCTTCTTCGTGTCAAGCATGCATTTGGCAGCTTGGATAGTTTTAGTCGTCGTGCTGTAGCAGGTCGTAGCACTCTGTAGCAGCCATGAAGGGATGGAAGGCCATCACGGCGGCGAGTCTCGAGGCATCGGATCGAGAGATGGAGGCAATCATGAATGAGGCAGACTTGTTGCGCGAAGCTTCAGACTCTGACAGCGAGCCCAGCCCGATCCCCTGCAGTTCTCAAACCTCCGACGAAGCTTGGTCGTGTGCTATCTGCTATCCTCCAGACAGGTCTGTAGAGTAGAGTATTGTAGAGTTAGAATGTCGCAGCAGGTATTGTGTGCTGGGTCAGGGCGGCTTGCGGTGCACAGTGTTGGGCAGTGCATGTCCCTTTCAGTCCACTGAGCCAGCAGTATCCACCATAGTGTCATTTGACAATGCGCCCGAGTTGTGTGACAAGGAGTGGTTCGTGTTTGACATCAAGATGCACACTCGAGATGTGGTTCCACGTGGAATTTGTCGCAGCTCTCCGATAAGCTTGGTTTCTTGCTACACGGGCGCTTTTTCGGAGGCAGTGTGCCTTGAGGCCCACACGTAACATGTCATCCGATTTCTTGCGAATTTGCTAAACTATTGCGGGCAGTTCAGCTGAGAGTCGCCAGTCTGCACAGCGAAGTTACACATTCACCAGTGGTTCATGAAGCTGCCATACACGTATCTTTCGACTGTTGTGCCGTGGATGTGTTGGGCTTGAAACATTTGGTCTTTGCGCCAGGTGCTGGGCATTCCGTTCACAGCGGTCGGAGCTTCAGAGATGAATGAGACGGCTCGCAGCATCATCATGGCCAATCACCCGCCGACTCACCTGCACGAAACACTTCGTGATCAAATAGAGCATGAAACATGTCGGCTTCATGGGCAGTGTCAGCAGAAGTGCGGCATGCGGGAGAGTGACTTGTGTGTCTGTGGATCTCCGTGTCCCCCGTTTTCTACTTTCCGCAGTAAGAGATTCCTGGAAGATTCAGTGCGGGACCATGTGCTGACAGATACGACAATGATAGATGCAAGGGACATGCTCCTGCACGGGCAGCACAAAGCCTTCATCCTTGAACAAGTCCCGGGCTTTGACAAACATGAGACAGCTTCGGATCCATCAAAGCCCACTCCGTTGCGCAGGCGGGCACACAACTGCTTGGTTCAGATGCTTAGTGGCTTACGGTAAAAGCCAGAAAGTTGGAATATGATTATCCTAACCCTTCGATGGTAAATTATAGGGTATCCTACCATGATACCATATTCCAACTTTCTGGAGTTCCCTGTAGTTGGCTGAGTCCGAACTTACTGCCTGTAGTATCTTTGCGAACCTCAATTCAGTAAGCTTTGCGGCATGAGTGCATTCAGCAGACACTAGAAGCTAGACTTGCAATGCACATTGCAGGCAGTGTAGTTAGCAGTTAGCATGTCCGGAGTCAGAGATTGCGGCCTCTCATAGTTGTTAGTTTGACAGAGTGCTCAGAGTGATGCGACATTTCCCCGTTCGACACGAACAGTTCACCTTCGCCCAGTTTTCTTGTTGCTGTGTTGCATTGTGGTTCGTTCATTGTTTTCTTCGTTGCAGGTCAAGGGCTTTCATGTGTTTCAAGCGGCTCTTGGGCTTTTCTTCGTTGCAGGGGTCAAGGGCTTTCATGTGTTTCAAGCGGCTCTTGGGCTGGTCGCCCGGGTGTGCGAGGTGTGCTCGCAGTTGTTACTCTTATTATTTATGCATTGCATGTATTAGAGCTTGAGCAATTGAAGTTCCACGAACACAGAAGTATCCAAGTGGAGTCAATGTCCGAGTTGAAGCAATAGGACCGCAAATTAACATGAAGCAGCACTCGCAAACCAATCCATAATCAACCTCGGCCAGGTTTCTGGATATGATCCACACCGAGCTGAAGGTGGCCAAGAAGCCAGGCTACCATGCCGTGGTCCTGAGGGCTTCCCATCAAGATTGGGTCCAGCTGATGCGTGACAGGACCGATTCAGCACACTGCAAGGGAAGAGAGAGCATCAGAGAGTGAGTGAGCGAGTGCACGTATGTGTGTGAGTCAGTGGTGGCAGTGGCAGCGTGGTTCGGACCTGTTGTTGCTCCAGGCTTTGTGAACAGCTTCGTAACAAGGTTTATCCCAGTCCAACGGCTCATGAAACTTGTTTCTTCTGCAACCTTGCAGCTTGTCGGTCACGTTGTGTTGCGGTTCAAAAGCTTGTGAGAGAACTGTGTGTGTTCTTGTGCGACAAGCAACTGAACAATGAAAGCATCCATGGATGTGTTATTGAGGTTGTGGCTTGGGCAGTCCGTCGGATCTTAATGTTGACCGTTATGATTGGTTGATTAACTCATTCGAACCCTCGCAATCATGAGAATCAGTACGACTACGACTACGATGGATTATGGCACTACGGCACCATGGTAAGGTCTTGTTATATTTGCTCAACTTCTGCGCAAGCTTCTGCGCAGCCATGTTTGTAACATGTTCTGCAGTGCCATATGCCTCCTTCGGGAGGGCAGCCACGTGTGGGGCGGCCACCTGGCCGTGCTGGGTTCAGGGAAGCTTTGAGAGGCTTGGAAGATGAGGTTGATGCTGAGCCGGCTCAGCCTTTGGACGATGACGAGCGACATCAAGCTGCGGTGGAGAGAGCAGCGCAGGCAAGGGCAGCCCGAGCTGGATACACAGAAGCAGCGCCTTGTCAGGATGAGTCTGACGGTTTCGCTTTGGCAAGTTTTGGATTGCTAAAGCTCGGAACAGACTTGCAGCAGCAACTCGCGCAAGCTGCGTGGAAGCTCAGAGGGGCCAAGACAGCCACCGTGGCAAGGTTCAAAAGGATGTTCAGTGAACTGCTGCTGCATTTTCGGCCTACGGGCAGCCTGACCTCACAGGCTGCAATGATGCAGCAGGACAGACAAGCACTGCACGTCGTGATGCAGCAGGCAGCATGTTATTTGGTAGTTTTCTCAGCTTTTTTGATTGGGGCCTTGCTGGCTACCCTGTCAAAGCTGTGTGCTGGTGTGAATCCCAAGACCCACAGGGTGGTGATGCTCCTTGTCCGAAGGGCTTATGATGAAACTCCTTCGGATATCAGCGTCGCTTGGATGACACATTCTGAATTGGGTGCATTTAACAAGAAGCGAAGCAAGCAGGAGGGGACTGCGAAAGTCCTCCAGACCCGATGCGATGTTTTGATTCTGATGAATCATGTCTCGAGCGCGACCTACTACAGCATGAGGATTCCCATGCCTTGCTGGCTCATGGCGCTGGAGAAAACAAATGCTCAGACGACTGCCAAGGCCCAGAGGTCAATTCTGGACATGATTCCTGGCCTCCAGTCCTTCGGCCAAAAGGCCAAATATAATCTGCAACTCGTGACAACCGATCGCTGTGCTTCCAACTTGAAAGCCGAGAGACTCCTCGACACTGGGGGAATCAACGGCTGCACAACACATCATTTTTGTGTTGTGCATATGACCCACACCTGTCAATCCAAGACCGTCCAGATGCTGGACGGTCAAGTCACCGGGATGGTTGCTACAGCTTTGACTTGTATGGACGCGGGAAGCATCCGATCGCTTCGATCATCGATGGAGAAGGTTCTGAAAGACAAGGTGCATTTGTGCTTCGGGTCTCGGCCGGAGGATCCGTTTGCAAACGAGTACAGATCTGCTGTCTTGGAAACCTTCCTACCCTTGCAGGACGATGATGGAGATGAGCATGTTCTTGGCAGGATGCAAGAGCATTACTTGCAAAGAAAGCGAAGTCGAGCCATCATCAACTTCTTCCTGCACGGGGACCTGCAAGACCAAGATGAGATATGGTTCTGGAGTGAAACATGGGGACTGGAGCAAGAGCATGTTGTGCAACTCATGGCAAAATGGCTCATCCCAGTTTTGCTTCCAAAGCGGCCTCCAATCTTTTCGCGCACCCGATGGGACGGGTTCCATGACTCTCTCCTGTGGTTCGGACTGGCACAGGCTTGCCATGGCTTGCTTCGCCCTACGCTGCAAGACTTTCTGAATGTCACTCCGACGGTGCTGCCGCGTGCGGCAGAGGATGACCGTCAGGAGGTCGATGCAGATGAGGCAGACATGGAGGCTGCCACCGGCAACATCGACTGGAAGGAGCTCAAGGTGAAGATGCGGCAGAAAGTGCAGGTGTGGCTTCAACAACCGTTGTTCCCACCTGTGCTTCTTATGCTTCAGGCCTTGCGGCCAATGTCTCGATTTTACCACCGCCTGATTTATTCGGGCAGTGCGGAATGGGAAGACATTGAGAGGACGAAAGAGTCCCAAGGCTGCCGTCGATCGTATGCGGTGCTTGAGGCGGCGCGGGAATCAGATCTCAATGCTTACCGGCGGAGTGTGAGTGACACCTTCCACGAGCAGATCGTGCTTCTCCCGCGATGGTGTCACTTCCGCCACTACCAGGTGCTTCTGTTTCGCATGCTCAGCCGCAATGTGTGCAGCACGGAGTTTCTGATCGGCACAACCTACAGGTCATACCCAATCAAGCTCTTCAAGAGTTTAGACAAGGTGCACGAGGCGAAGGATCCGGAGTGCATGCACTGCCGTCTCACAAAGCTGATCCTCTCGGAGGGTTGTGACCTGGACAGTCCTGAGTCGCAAGCTGTTCTGACGGCCATCGCTTCAATGTTTCAGTTGCACATTGCTTCGATAGAAGCCCGCCATGCATCAACACGGAGAATCACAACCATCAAATCGGTGCAAACACACCGCCCGACACTGACGGCCGTGGGGGCCGATTGGGTGTGCCGACATTTGGAGGATATATGTTCAGTCTTGTTTGGTGAGATGTTTAAGTCCTCTGTGAAAGTTTTCAATCTTTTTGAGATGTTGAAGTCCTCTCTGAAAGTGCAAGTTTCAGCCAAGTCTTTGGGCTAGGCCTATGACATACGGTTGATGATATAAATCCTGCATGACCCGGAATAAGGAATATACCATAATTCCCATAGTTTAGGGTCCTTAAGGTAATGCAGGATTTAAATCATCAACCGTAGGGCTATGCTATGATTTGATTTGACTGAGGATCGAACAGTGCTGACCGAGCCCAGTTCTGCCGTGACATGCCTGTGTCCGGAACAGCCCAAGCAGACACCGTGCCGCCCGAGCCGAAGCAGCCGGAGCGAAAGAATCCTTGGAATGCATTCCTCAGCGAGAAGTGCCGCCGCAGAATCTCTGACCTCGGCAGCACTTCGTACGCTGCTGTCGTTGAGGAGTACCGTAGCTTGACACCCGCAGAGCATCAGAGGTACCAAGAGATGGCAGACGTGGCTTTCTGTGCGAGAGCCCGAGGTCTGCCGGGTTATGCTCATCATGGTGCTATTCCTGCAGCAGCGGCATCATCTTCTGGCTCTGGCAAGGAAGTGGCCGTGGAAGCTCTTGTGGCTGTGCCTGCCGCTGGCCACCAGGAGTTGGCAGTCCCTGACCAGGCTTACAAGTTGATGGCTGCAGACTTGTCAGACAAACTGCAGGTGGTTCAGCAGGAGTATCACAGGCGATCTGCGTCTGTGAAAGACTGGTGTGACATTTTTCGCGACAGCCGGGTTCAGCATCGGCAAGATCAAGAGCATCTTTTTCGAGAATGTGGTGTGGTGGAGCATGTGCCTGCGCTTAATGGCCTCGTGTCGGCGGAAATGCGCGTACCAGCGGACAAGATCGGCGAAGTGCCCGGGTTAGATGGTTCAATCATGAGGGACCTAGTCACTACTGGTTCAGAAGTTCTTCCGGTTTCTTGTTTAATCGACTAGGTAACTGTAACTAGGCCCCTAAGCCCTAAGCCTCAGCTTTGGAGCTTTGCAAGGAAGGAATAATGAACAGTAAATTGTACCTCTTAATGGCCCGTAGATAATCAAGGGTTTCAGCTTTAACCGGAAAACTTTGAAAACCAAAAAGAGTCAGCCCGCTACTGATGTAGGACCACAAACCTTGTCACCATGCCTTGTTTGAAGTGTTTCCTGCCGCATGTCTGGTGGCCCTGTGCAGGATCTGCTCTCAGTTGGTGAAAAGAGCACCTTGCGGGCCTCTCTTTTGGACAAGTGGCAGAGCATGTGTGACTTGATTTTGAACACAGATGAGACACCATTTCCAGATGCTTCAGATGCTCTTCCAACTCGTTGTGCACAGCTCGGCATGTGTGTCTGTGCTTCACGTGGCTTGCAAGCTTACCTCTTTCATTGCAGGCTGATTTTCTGTTTGAAGGCATTCTTCACACCCAAGAGATCCCGCAAGATTCGGGATGCTGCTGGCAACATGGTGATCAAGGAGCTGTCGCAAGCCGAGCAGCATCAGCAGACAAAACTGAAATCCAACCGAAAGCTTCTGGATGATGGTTTCGTTGTTGTTTGCTTGCGGCCATCCAGCCGAACTGCCGCAGCAGAAGAGGTTCTGCCTCACAAGTACATGCACTCCTCCTGGAAAGCTTTGGCCCTGACTGCAATGAATGTCAGTGCGGAGGGTGAAGCAGATTCTCCAACTTCCCTCTGGCTCCATCTCGGCCACATCAATTATACGACGTGGGCTCTCGGTGTGTTGCGTCTGGACGAAGCTGGTGCTGATGAGGCTCGGCCTGAGTACACGAAGCTTCAAGTGCCCACACCTCAAGAATGTTGCCATTCCGTCAGAATGTTTGAGCAAAGCGGCATCAATTTCAGTGGCCCGTGGCAGTTCACTGTCAGCATGATCTTGAGCAACAATGATGAGCTGGAAAGGGCCAGCATGCGACCCGACACAGTGCTTGTGAAACAGCATGCAGAAGTGCCCAACATGGAATTCTGGCAGGGCTGGCCGGCAGAACAGGCCCGCCATGAAAAGAACTCCAAAAGTCGACCTGTGCCTTCATCTGGCAAGCGGAAGAAGGAGACATCTTCAGCCACAGCTGGGTTCCGGAAAAGAACCCAAGTCTGCGCCGGGCTCATCCACGGATGCCGTGGAGCCTCTGCCTGCACACGAACCGGAGGACGATGTGGCTGGAGATCCAGTGGAAGAAGATCTTCTGCATGATGAGGAAGTCCGCAGTGAGGCCTCCAGCACTCCATGGTCTGAGTATGTGGCCGATGCTTTGGAGAGGGAGGAGCCTGGGTATGATGGAAGCTTGAAAGCGGAAGGCTCCGCTGCAGCCGCTGCAGCCGCTGCAGCAGCGCCAGACATTGCTGCAGGTTCTGTCGATGATGCTGATATGGGTCCTGCTCGTGCAGACACAGCCCACCCACGTGCCGAACCACGCCCGACAACTGTGGTGGGCTTCAAGAGTTTAGGAGACCTTCGCTTCAATGCCAAAGACTGTCACATCATGGCGGTCTGCCGTCATCCTGATCATATTGACTGCAGAATCACCCGCACCACCAACCCAGCTTCAGCTCCACGACAAATTGCGACGAACCCCTCGCAAGGGAGGCCCATCGGGTTTTTGTGTGCCTGGCTCAATGCCGCAGGACAGTGCAGCTCTTCACAAGAGCACAAGCAGATGGCAGTGCCTCGACATCTCAGTCTTCTGTCTAGGCAGGAAGCGAGAGCTGAGTTCATGCGAGAACCACATGCTGCGGATGTTGCGAGTCACGAACGCACACGGAATCACGATGAGCCTGACGAGCCTCCAGTGATTCGGTGAAAAATTGTGACATGCGCTTCTTGAAGCTTCGCTGTTCGTCAGTTCGTCTGCAGCGCAGATAAGTCGCACAGTCATGGATCCTAGGTTTGGACTTTGGATTTTGGTTTGTCTTCAGGGTCTTTGATTCCTTCCCGAACCCCCAGGTAAGTGTGCACGGTTCATTTCCCTGTGCTCTTGTGCAACAGTGAAGCTACTTCGACTGTACCTGAATTTACCTGAATGCAGGATTTTCGTCGTCTTCCTGCGCAAGGACGTGTATGGTGTCGCAGATGCTGGTTTCCTTGCCAAGACTTACAAGGCCAGTTCTGTTTTGCAGCATCGGAGTTCGTGCTGGTGTCAGGTCTCGAGCCTCATGTTGTAATATTGTGTGCACCTGCCACTGCTGCATCGGCTTGTGTTCTGCAGAACAGGTGTAGGACAGTCTAGGCCCAAGTCCAAGCCCAGCCTTCTTCGAGGTGATGAGGTCTGAATGCGAAATGAGCAGGGTGGGGTATAGGTACAATACAGCGGTTAGGTTATGTCCCCGGACAATTGCCTGCTTGGTTAGGCTTAGGCTTAGGCCTAGGCGCTAGGCTGATTTTGTTGGCTCGTTTTTGGATTGCTTTGCAGGACCTCATCACGAAGCAGCAGGAGGCGACCCCGAAGAAGCTCAGCGATCTTTTGCCAGAGAGGAGGCTGGAGGACGTGCCGCGAGGGGTGACCCCGATGGACTGCCAGGTTCTTCTGCTGCAATTCTGTCAGTCAGCAGTGTGGAGCTCCGAGTGGTTAGCAGTTCAGTGCATGGACACGACATTTGGGCAACAAGACCTGGTCACATTATTACACTTGTTGATTGATAGATTTCGGAGTTTGGAGTTTTACTCAGAATGGTTGTATGCTTCGTGATGTTCGATGCTGCAAAGGGCAGGGGTCAAGGGGCATGGAGGGGTGTGGGCGGTGTGGATGCTTTTTCAGGGCCGCAGTGGAAGGCTAGTCGGCTAGTTGCACGAGTTGTTTGATCCGGGAGAATGTTTATGCACGATGAGGGCTTCAGTGGGGTCCTGATGGGGGGAAGGCGGGGGCAGGGAGACAGAACCTGGCTTTCTGGTGTGGTCGCTTTTCTTTTGGATTGTTACTGGCCCTTGCTTTTCAGGGCTCATTTTTTGGAGTCGAGAAATCGCTTTTCGTTTGCTTTTTTGCCACATTGTTGCCGTCCCGTTTTCTCAATTTGGCTGGAAATCGTTCGCTTTTCCAGTGCATTTTATTCCCTTTTTCGGAGCCCTGGCTCCGGACCACCCTGGCAAGCAAAAATTGCATTTTCCCTAGCAAAAAGAGAAAAAAAAGGAACGAAAAAGGGACGAAAAAGGGAAAAAAAAGGGACCAAAAAGGGACCAAAAAGGGACCAAAAAGGAACCAAAAAGGACCAGAAAAGGACAGGGACAGGCACCAAAATGGAGCCAGAAGCCCAAAACAAAGCGATGAGAAAGCAACCCAAAAAACAGCGGAAAAACGACACCACGGGCCTCCAGCCAATCCGCACCCAGGGCAGGCCCTCCCAGACCAAGCCAGTTCACCAGCCCCATAGTCACGTTCCTTCCACCAGCCCCCCAAGTCCCAGGCTTCCGGGTCAATGTGTGCGCGAGTTTGGTGCTCATCTTTGCAAACCTGGCATGATGATGGTGGCATGGGGTTCGATGCTCACGAAACACAGAGTTTCAAAGCCTAGGTCCTAGGTTTGTGTTTCATCATGAATACAAACTTCAACCGGACTGCCAGCCTCACATACAAGTGCACTGCAGGTCGAACTCCTCTAACAAGGATGAAACCTTTATTTCCAAAAGCAAATTTCGTTTGAAACGAAATTAGTAAAAACTCGCCCTTTCTAGGCTTGTTGTGGATTTATTTTGAAAAGTAGTCGGACACTCTTTTTGAGTATGTGGACTACTTTTCAATGACAGAAAGACATTTTCCTGCTAAAAGCTTATATTTTTCGATGCTCAGGACCCTACTTCGGCCTCGAAAAGGTGGAAGGCCGAATCGAAAGTGCTTCGCAAGACCCTCGGGGTTTCGGAGAACTATAAGCCATGGACTTCAAGGAGGTCGTTCCTTGGAGTTGGTTTACCAGCTTCGGAGAGGATGTTGGACGTACTGGATTGCTATGTGGCTTCAGAACTTAAAGAAAACTGTGGCCGGCCTGATGAATGTGCCAGGGTGGATATGCGTTCACTGATGGAGGGCAAATTCATCGATGTCAGCCAGGGGGTGAAGCGTGGTGCCCACAGCAACAAACCTGGGTTTGTTCGCACCTTCACAACAAGCACGGTTTTGTATGATTTCAGCCGTGATGTTGTCTTGAGTGGCTACGAGATGCTGCTACTTCATGGTTTCCCACGAGACTTTGTGATTCCGGCCGACATCCCAGAGCCGGAGGTGCGCAAGGTAGCTGGGGATGGTATGTCAATCCCTTCACTTGCTGCTGTCATTTGGTGCTTGTACTTGACACGGCAGTTCCCTGAGTGATGGTGTTCTTGAAAGCCGTAGTGCCCAGCACTGTTTCATATGATGATTTTTGTTCTGTGGGCCTTCTTTGGCCATTCGTAGAAATGCATGTGTCTCGGCAGGATGTGTGAGACAAAGTTTTTTGTGGGACTCATTGATTGTCGGAGTGGCGAGGGTTCTGTGCTGTACAGTATGGCATGGTATAGTTTGGTATAGTATAGTATGCAGCACGTGTAGTGGCAGTGCAGTGTAGTGACGTGTTAGCATGAAGTTTGAATGTGTAATCTTGTGCCAAAGCTAAGAGGATGTGTCCGAAGGAGCTTCAGAAATCTGTTCCGACTTTCTTCTCCCAGTCCTGGAATGGACATATGGAGATTTCTGCAGATGGGAGGCTTCGTTCTCCATCGAGTCACAGAAACAATGACTCAGCGTATGATTCGATGGTGTGCAGAGTTTCGCTGCTTCTGTTTCTGGTAACTACTCCTGGTGAGTTTCTCCGAAGTGCTGGGAAATGGCTAGTAGCTCGTAAAGGAATTATTCAATGCAATAAACTACATATATATATATAAGACATAAAACATAGGGTAGATAGTATGATACTGTGCGTGTCTTGCGAGGCTCTGCAAGTTTCACATCAGGAAGAAGTTGTGGCCGGAAGCAGTCCTAGAGCTGTGTTCAGGGGAGATGTCATTGAGAAAATATCCTGCTCCTGGCAAAAATACGAGACCTACACCCAGACATGTGTACAGTCAGATAATGAGAAGTTTCTGAGCTTTTTAAAATTAGCACTCCACACACTCCTATCCTGTCCCAATCTCTTATTTGTAATGCCTCATGTACCCTGGAGGTTTGGTCCTCGGTTTCATCCTGTTGATTTACTAGAGACCAGGGCTGCAAGGGCTAGATTACGTGTGGAACCCAGCCGGATTGTCTGGTCACTCGAGTTGGAAGTCCAGCCACCAGACTCGCCGCGCCTTGCTTGGAGTCTGACCGTACAGTTACAGTATCCTAGGTCCCCGGGTCCCTGCTGCTTCTGTACAGCTAGGGCACAGCTAGCTAGTTGTCTTTGTGGCAGATGGATTCGATGGACACATCGAGAGGAGAAGCCGGTGCTGAAAGAGCATTGTGCTTGTGTGGCAGCTGATTCTTTTTTGATTCATGCAGCGTGGGCCATCCCTTTGCAGCCGCAGTTTCTCATGTCTTGTTCCATCCTTGTGATGCTGCAGGCTTTCAGCCGTGTGGGCAGTGAGTCCATAGCTAGTGCTAGTGATCCTTTGTCAAGCCCGGCAGAGTCCAGATCTTGACAATGCGGGCCAGCGGCAGCGGCACTGGTGCTTCCAGACGTGGGAAGGAGTGCTGCGGCTGTGTGTTCGCAGTGTCGCAGAAGTGTCAAGGTAGGTAGCTGGTAGCTGCAGACACGTCTCTCGTTGGGTTGCTGCATTCTGTATCCGCTTGGGAGCCGGTGACTTTTGTGCTTATGCTTGTAGAAACAACGACCTTTGCGTGTCGTCCACTTGGCAGCAGGACAAGACGCCGAAGCGAGGTCCCCCGGGTGATGATGATGCTGACGAGTTCGATCGCAACAGTGAGCGAGGAAGCCGAGCTTCCAAGAAGAGCAGGCAGAGTCAGCAAGTGCCCACTCGAGGCCGTACTTTTGTGAGGAGGTGCCACATGTGCGGCAAGTCCTCCGACGACACCCAACCGCTTCGGATATGATTGTTGAGTTTTCTTTGAAGTTGCAGCGTGTCGAATCCTGGGTTGTACCACATGTTCATATGCAACGATGGCCAATGTAACCATGTAATTCTTCCATGCTAACGAGTCACGGGCTGCGAAAATGTTGTCTCATACTTCTTACTGTTATCATGCAACAAAGTCAGTGGTGCCACAGAGTGTTATGTCCAAGGAGACGACGTTCATGAGCCAAGATTCCACAGGAATGCCTGTGGATGATGGATGTTACAACTGTGGCGGCACGTGGAGCGACACTAACCCGGGGAAGCCGTGGTCTGCTGGGAAGGAGAAGTGGAGAGCTTAGCCAGTCATCCTTGTTTTCAGCCTATGTGTGTGTGTGTTCCGTAGTGCAATGTGGCGGTCATGTGGGGCCAATGCGGGGGAACAAAACAGTGAGGTTCGACAAGGAGCCGAAGTGGCGGCCCAAGTTCCTCAAGTCGGCGAGGATCCGGTCGGGGGAGATCGACCCACCTCAGTGGGACACCGCCAGCAATGTCGTAGACTGGGAAACCGTGGAGATGGAGATTCACCAGGAATTGGGCCTCCTGTCGGAGGCAGAGTTCGAGGCTCTGACAAAGTTCGCCGGATCAGCTGTGAAGGCTGAGTTGCAGGAGGTGCCGAGCCCGCTCGGCCACGACAAGAACTTTTTCATCATCACCTTAGATGGGCTTCCCTGCACCGTTACCAACGGAATGAGGAAGCTTTGTTGCAAGTACAGGTTCGGCCTGACAAGGGAGGACATGCTTTTGCAAGCAGCGAAACAGCTTGTAGAAGGGCAAGGGAAAGCGGTTTTCAGCTACCACAGCGAGGAGCAGCTGAAGCAGAGACCGAAGGGACTGCAGACCGAGCAGCAGTTCAAGGAGCTCAAGTCCTTGGAGGGGCTGAAAGAGAAAGCCCAAAAGGCTGTGGCCAAGAGCGGTGCGCAGCCAGTCAAGGCCACTGGTGATAGCAGTTCCGAGGCTGGTGACGACGAGGACGGTGACGGTCCCAAGGCAAAGAAGTTGAAAGTTCAGCAGTCGGGGCGACTGCAGAAGCTTGCCAAGCCCAAGAGGAAGGGGGGCAAGAAAGCACCCGCCGGCGCGGAGATTGCCGTGGTTGACAACCCAGAGGGGGTCCCCAAACCTTTGGAGTCTGTGGTTGCGGCCCGTGGCAACACGCCGAAATGCTTTACCAACTTGCACATTGATCGAATTCTCATGGGCGAGAAGTTGATGAGGAGTGTGGATGCAGTTGGGAACCGAGAAGTGCTGCAGCTGTGTAGTCAGAGTAGTCGGGGCTTGTGAAGGCTAGTGCTAGTGAAGTGATACAAAGGCCGTGGACCGTCTATTGTTGTGTGCAATCGAGTTTTTTCATTGGTCACGTGATTCAGTGTTGCCAGTTCAACCATGAAAGTCATCATTGTAAGTTGTGAGCAGGTTTGTTGCCATTTCAACAAACCGAGTTGTCTTTAGTATTCTAGCAGATTCTAGCAACAGTCATCTGTCTTCGAGGCTTTTCAAGACTCATACACAAAGTTTCAGAAGCTCCATTGCAAGGTTCCAGGACAATGCAGCTGCTTCATAATTCGGTGTCATTAACCGTGCAACAATATAATGAGAGACCACAGTCATTCTCTGCCTAGCAAGGCGAGAAAGATTATGGATGACATGAAGGCCCAGCGCCAGTTCCAATGGAAAACTTTGCACAAACACATCGAACTTTGCGAGATGGCAAACGGATTGGTTCACAACTCCAGCCAGATCACTGCTCGAGAGTGCCGCTTGACCATGGAAAAGTTGTTGTCGAATAACATCGAGCTGCCGTTCAACATCCGTGTCCTGGGAACAGAGAAAATCCTTGCGGGCACTTGGAGCGAGCTTTACCACAGCCCCCAGAGCACCTCTGCCCAGGACAGTGAACTCAATGGTATTCTGCTGGGCACAAAACATTACCGAGCCCTTTAATCCTGTAAGTTACCTATGCCTATGGTCCCAGATAGTCCAACAAAACACTGGAGCATTGTAGTTTTTCCAGGTTTTCGAAGATGTTTGCCCAGTCTGGTCTCAGTGTCTAACATGTCATTGAAGCTCGCAACAGGACATCACTCAGATCGTGGACCAGATGATGAGTGTTCTGATCAGCTGGCGACATTGCATGCCTGAGGACGCAGCTGATGAGGCAGAGAAGAAGGGGAAAGAGGTGGACATCTTCAGCTTCGACGACTTGGCGGCAGAGGTGATGGCGGACAAGGAGGACACGAAGGACGATGAGGAGGAAACCAAGACGCTGCAGGTCTTGGAAGAGGCTGGGATGCTTTTGAGCTTTAAAGTCTTGGTGTCTTGATGCCGAAAAGTTTGGCGCAGAAACTTGAACTGAAATAAACCCGTAGCCGTAACCCTAACTCCAAATATAAAAGCCCGTAATCTTGTACCCGAAGGCCATTGACCGTGATGCTTGTAACGGTAAGCCTTAACCCCCAAAGCCTTTAAACCGAAACCCCGATCATCCGAGTCCTTTTGCCCGTAAACCCAGGCACTTAACTGGCCCTACAACCTAAAAGCACCCAAAAACCTTAGCCCAAACCGCCTAAGCCTACGCCATGGATTCTTGAGACTAGAGTGACTAGAGATGTCGCAAGGTGCCTTGGGTACAGACACAGACCCCAATTTAGTTGTCGCAGTCTTCCGTACTCCAAGCCTTTTCAAGAGTTTGAGCAACCCGGTGTGACAGCGTGTTATTGTCGATAGTGATAGTGAAGGTTGGGTTTGAGTTTCGATGGAATGCATGTGTGTTTTGGTCGGTTGGTGTCAGTGAGTGTTCGTTCAGAAAAAGAGGAGAAAGAGAGAGAGAGAGAGAGAGAGAGAGAGAGAGAGAGAGAGAGAGAGAGATAGAGATAGAGAGCGAGAGAGAGCGAGAGAGAGCGAGAGAGAGCGAGAGAGAGAGAGCGAGAGCGAGAGCGAGAGCGAGAGCGAGAGGGAAAGGGAGAGGGAGAGGGAAAGGGAGAGGGCAAGGGAGAGGGAAAGAGAGAGGGAAAGGGAGAGGGAAAGGGAGAGGGAAGTTGGAGAGGGGAGAGGGGAGATGGGAGAGAGGAGAGGGAGAGGGAGTGTGTGTGTGTTTCTGTTTGCGACGTGTCAGTGTTTGTATGCCTGTGTGCTAGGTTTGCTGCGGGTGGGTGGGGCCGGGCTGAGTTCACTTGCGCTTGTCAGGAGCTGGAGGCATCGATTCTACATGCCATGGGCTGCGGCGAGTTTTTCGCGATGATCGAGGAGCCCAAGCTCCATGAACGCCTCAAAGGTGTGACCGTGAGGTTTGTGACCAGGTATACGGAAGACTCAGCGGAGTCCTTGGAGATGAGCACGCCCATTGCGAATGCAATGAGCACCGTGTTCCAGGCCATGGCGTGCTTGCTGGTTCTCTTGGAGCCAACACCGGGCTTCTTGGGGACATCGGCCAGTGCAGTGGCTAAGATTGTGGCCTACGAAAGCAGCAACCCTGAGGATTTCTTGAGTGCCCTGCGGTTGCACCTCGCAGACCAGGGTATTTGGCAATCGAGGGTGGATGAGGTCTTGAAGCTCGGAGGCAGTGCTTTGAAGTTCGGGCAGGAGTTGAAGGAGCATGTGGATAAGATGAAGTCGATCTCGGGACAGGACGGCTTCAGCGAGCACTTCGTCCAGGCGGTCAACGTAGTTGATACTTTGAGGAATGGGCTTCGCAAGCATGCCGTTGATGAGCTGCTGTCCCTCATCCGAGAGACGACGCAGAAGTACATCGACAAGCTCTGCAGCTCCCCGAGTGTGTCCGAGAGCGACGGAGGCATCATCCAGGTGCTCATGCAGGCCATTGACAAGTTTCCCCAGAAGGACATGTTGCAGCTGAAGCAGAAGTTTCTGAAGTGGCAGCAAAGCGTCCAAGTGGAGCTGCTCAAGCAGGAGGCATCTGCTCTTGGCAACAAGATCCTCAACCAAGCCGGAAACGATGATGAGGAGATCCCGCTGGACGATCTCGCCAAGCTTCTTGACAAGTTCAAGGCCGAGAAGGAGCTGAAGGACGATGCCAAACAGCTGCTTCAGCAGTTGGTTTGGGCCATCATGACGAAGGTCCACAACCAGGACCCGCAGTGACATGTTCAAAAGGGTTCACAATGAAACTTTTCATAGTTCGACTTATCCCTTGGTTCTGGTACTACACCCGCCCTCACACACACATGGTAACTTGTAGCAAACAGATTTCGAGTATGGCAGGTTGGTAGATACCAATGTGTGTGTGTGCGTAGATTCATTCGGGTATTTGAGCAGTTGTAGCTGGCTGCATTGTAGCTTCCGCCCGCATACACAGACTCAGCAACTGCTATGGTTTTATTCTACATCGCGTCTGTTGAATTTGTTCTTACTGTTTTCATTGCAGGCCTCCAACCTGAAGCGGCTTGCGTACCAGATCTTCAGCCTCCTTGACGGCTTTGGGAAGCTTGCCTTCGCTGACCCGGTGGCGGAGAGCTTGAAGCTTCAGATGCAGTACATGCAGGATGGATTGTATGTGCTGAAGCAGATGGAGAAGTTCCGCAAGCTCGGCAGCGACCCTGCCGGGCGCCTCAAGAACGATGTCAGGTGGGGAGCTCTTCTCACGTACGTGAAGCAGCTGGAGGGTTTGCGGACTGTCAGGGACAAGGCCAGCAGCCGTGTGGACGTTTTGGCATCCTCTGCTCCTACTGAGCATGCCAAACTCAAGGAGCTATGTTTCTCTGACTTGGATCGACCCTTCCAGGTGCCTGAGGACATGAAGGACGCCTTTGTTTTCGCAATGAAGGCCATGCAGAAGGATGCAGAGGAGCTCATCGACAAGATGGGCGACAGCACCCAGAACCTCCACCTCCCGAAGTCCAGATGGACGAAAGATCTCAAGCCCGATGCAACGGCCGAAACGGTGAAAATGTGCATCGCCAGCAGCCTCGACTTTGATGTTTCCCAGCTAGAGCCCACCCTGCAAGCTCTCAAGGAGGCTTCTGTTTCAAAAGTAAAGACATAGGTCATAGGTGTCACCAGCCGTCACTAGCCGCAGTAGCCGCTAGGTTTCTTTCTGATTGTCTGTAGTATCCTTTTTGATTGCCTGAGTCGGGATTGGTATGTACACCATGATTGCATATAGGTATTCTTGGAGGTAACTCGAAGGTTGTTTATAAGAAGCTTGAGGGGAGCCGCTGTTTTGCAGGTGAATGCCAAAATTGCCATCTGGAAGAAGAAGGTGACCTTCCTCAAGACTGTGGCGGAGCTTGAGGATGAATCCAAAGCATTCTTCGACACACGCGAGAAGGTGAATCAGAGCCTTGTCAGTGGCCATATTTTCAGATCCGAGGGCATTCTCGCAAATGCTTTGGAGTCGAACAAGGGGGAAGCGCAAAAACTCGTTCGTGTTGAGCTTTCCTATCTGGCCGGAGATCATTGGCAGCTGGGCATCAATGAGACGCATGTCCATGCAGCTGTGCTGGCAGCTGCAAAGCAGCTGCTGGACAAGAAATGAGATGGAGATTTGCAGGGCCCAGCTTTTAAGTCTTCCAGACATTTTCAGATGTGGTGCTTAGGAACTGATAGGCAAGTTGTTGTAGCGAGATGATAGGTAGCAGCACGTCTTGATTATTTCGAAGTCGCCGCCAGTTTTTCCAGTCCGTATCTTGGCATACTGTGTGTACTACCATCCTGCCGTGTTCCCGAGACCAGACCACGTCGGGCATTCCTGCTTTTGGAACCATCGCTATTTTACTTTGCAAGCCCCAGGCTTCCAGCAAAGGCTCCATGCCGTGCCAGTTGTTGTGGCTGTTGCTAAACCCCGGAACCCAAAGTACGTACTCGGAGTATACCTGTATATCTTAGGGCTTAGGTCCTAGGCCATCCGGGTTGGTCTTCAGAAGACCAGGCACAGCTCTTATCATTTTTCCTTTCGCTTCACGTGCAAACCTACCCAAAGCTTTGCAGCCTTGCCGCTTGGGGTGAAAAAACCGGAGAACACAGTCCAAGTTCAGTTGGGCTGCTTACTTACGGCCGAGGATGTGTAGGTTCGGGTTTAGCGCTGAGGGAATTGGAGCCGTTTGCACATTTTCATATATGCATATACTGGAATGCAAGAGTGACCTACTTTCATATGTTTTCTGGATTGCGAATCTTAATTGAGAAACCTTGTAAGCCGGAAGTTTTGGTGAACGCATTTCGGCGTGTGTGACATATGCCGACATATGGACTTGCTTGCATTCACGTGAGATCGTAAGATGTTGGTGTGCCGGAGGATATGCTGGCCTCCATTGGCAGGTTTGGAAAGTGCTTCACCGCATAATCTTTCCAGTTCGGCAATGCCTGCAAACATATCGGTAGTAACTCACACCAAAGAACCACCAATCCTGAATCACCTGGTGGGTGATTGTACGTGTCCAGGTCATAAGCAAAAACAGTTCCACAACCATGACAGATCCACCAAACATCAACAACAGTCCTTGGAAACCGCTGAAAGCATACATGGATGACACCAGCAGACAAGATGACAGAACACACATTGGAGTGCAACACATGACATAACACCGTAGCTATTTTGGCCTCTACCGTAGCCGTTTTTGCTCGATGAGCGTCCGTGCCAACCAAAGGCAGTTTCTATACTGCCACGAGACGTGGACAAGTCATGTCGTAGAATCCCTTGAAATGTTAATGTCCGTTGATATGTACTGTGCCCGTTTTGCTCACGTGGCACGCTGCGGGGTGTAACGTGGTCACCGCAGCTGCTGTTTGTTGAGCTTTCCCTGGGTGCATTCACGTTTCTGGTGGTCTATGACATTCGTTTGTGGTTGATTTGATTTGCCGTGCGTGGTTAGTGCTACTAGTTAGTGTGCCGCTAGTTAGTTGTGCTCGTTTTCTATGTGTTTGAAGTTTATGTGTTCTGCCGTCTGTGTATGTATATTGTGACAAATACCCTGCTTGGATTGCTTCGCTGGACTTCGTGGTGTCTTTTCCTGGGTGGATTGCTAAATCTGTGCTGTTTTGTTCATTGCTTGTGCATGTCCTTCATTTGACTGCTTTTCATATTGGCTGGATTTCCAATTAGAGATGGTTGCTTTGTCTGGGTTTACACCAATCTTGCTGGTTCTCGTAGTCCCTACTTTTCGCTCTACCAAACAAGGCACCATGCTTTTACGCTACCCCTTTTTCTGCTGCTCTTTGTTTCGGTTTTTGTTTGCTTTTTTGTTGCTTTTTTTTTGCTTTTTGGTTGCTTTGTTGTTGCTTTCTGTGTCGCTTTTCTTTCGCTTTTTTTTTGCTTTTTGTTTGCATTTGATTTTGCTTTCTTTTTGCTTTCTGGTTGCTTTCTGT